GGAATTTAGTTGAAGTCCACTCATCTTAAAGTGGCCACGTTTGGACAACACTGCCTTAAGCATACTGAAGATAGAAGCTTGGACAAGAAATATCTGTGCAAAAGAATATTGCCTGAATTAAAAAAAAAAACCCTGTATTTTAAGCCCACATTTATATTTCTTATATGATAAACGTGGTGCCTTGGCAACCTTTTCAGGTATCAGGCACCGTTGTGCAATCTTGTATGATGGTGCCAACACCAAAATAAAATAGGTGAAATTTGTGAAGAAGAATTTTTCAATTTTTAATATGTTATAAAGTATTCCATATATATGTATATATGGAAGCAATGACTAGCGCTACAGTCCTGTTCATACTTACCTGGGAGTAAGTTTCACTGAATTCAATAGGACTTACATGCATAGGATTGTGCTTTAAATGTACAGCCCTTCAGTGAATCAGTATATGATTACATGATACTAATAACAAGCATTTTCCTATAGTAGATTTTTTTCTTGTTTTTACCAACATTTTTAAAACTGTTCATCCAGGTATTACAAGCAGACTGGTCCTTGATTCTTTAAGCAATACATTGCCTTTGCTCTCTTTTTTTTTTTTTAACAAAATTCATCCTTTTATTTTATAATAGAGATTATAAATAATTGAAAGTGTGCATGCAGTCAACTGCATATTATACAAGCAATATCTATGTTAATAACTGTTTTCTTTGGCAGGCCAGAATCCAGCTGGACATGCAATATTTACATATCAAAATCCATTGTTTATGTTCAAGTCATACTGAATGCAAGTGAAAATATATTTTTATATTTATAATTTATATATACACCTACACAAACTACAATTCTGTCTCTGCATTTATCTCTTTCTCTTTGTGTCTGTCTGTGTGTCTGTATGTATATGTGTTTGCATACACCCAGACACACACATATACTTACAAATGCTCACAAACAGGCACGTGTTTGTATATCTGTGTAGGAGTATGCGTGCATGCCCATTTCACAGCATACGCTTGGTATACAAAGAAAAATAGGAATATATTAAAAGTGAATTTCATCCTTTTCTGATTCAGGTGATACTGGCCTTGAGACACTAAAAATGTCCTGACAAGGTATTTGGGATGGGAGCTGAGGAGATAAATGGGATTTTGAAGATGGTGTCTGCAATGTGTTCTTTTCAGACAAGATTTTTAAAATGTCTGCCACCTGCTTCTCCAGGACAGCCATCCTGCTGCTTATCAGCTGGATATCTTCCTTGAGTTCATGTTTGATCTCCTGGAGTGTAGTTTGTAAGGCTTGTTCAGGGATAGGGTAAAAAGGGTGTTTTGTATCTGGTTGACTAGGGCTGTGCTCTAGGGGGCTACGGTTCTCCCCAGCTTTGTCCAAACGAAGGTCACTTTTTGTGATCCCACTGTCACAGGAGTCTGTTTTCCTCAGTGGGTTTTTTGTTACATTTTCTGAGTCAACACTCTTGGGGTCCTCTGACAACAGCCCCATGGACTCTGCCTTAGTGACGTTATTCCACTCTTCCTTTTTCTCTTCCTGGCCTGCCATGTTATTCTTTAATCGAAGCCACCCTTTCCCGTTGCCGTTTTTCATCCTCACAGGGCTGGTAACTTTGACACATTTGGGGTCACCATTGCTATTGGGCTTGAGCTCCGTGGCATCCCTGTTGTTTGGTTTGACCACCTCATTGGTTTTCACATAGGACAATGATGTCTGGATGGGTGTGATCTGAGATACAGTGACCACACTTGTGCCCGTGATGGCAGCACCATTCTGCATGGTTCGGGTCTCCACCTGGAGGGTATTCCTCTCAGGATCAATGATTGTTGTCCCTTGGTTTCGCATTTCCTTCTGCTGTTTGAATTTCTGGAAGAGCTTCCTGACAGGGTGGTCTACAGGAATGCTCAACGTCACTTCATTCTTTTGTCGCAGACGCTCCTCCTCTTCTTTCTTGACATCACTGATTTTTCGGAAAATAATCTACAAGTGGAGGAAAAAAATAAGTATGTGGTAAGAAGGAAATAAACTTTTCTTAAAAATGTATGTGAGTGAAGCAACTGTATTCTGAACATGAACATACAGTATATTATGGGTTTAACAAGAATAAGGCTTCCTTACTTGTTTTTAAAAAATTTCTTGCAAGTGAATTTAAAGACCAATACAAACTGCTGATGATGGAGACCAATATCTAAATCTACTTTATTTTTTGTTTGTAGTTGTATAATCCTCTAACTTTATGTACTGTATCATAGTTGACTATTCTACAACCTTTCCTGGGGAAAATTAAGGCTTATTTCACTTAGTGCTGGAATCCACACAAAAGCACAACAACAAAAATATCCATTTATTTGGGACAAGACCCAGTGAAGAAAGAAGAGTAAAGCCAAAAACGTACAAGATTCTGTAGTGGGGATCTTGCAATAGGCTGTGAGTATCAAGTTAAGGAAAATGTCTTGACATATGTTGATACGTATTATAATTACAGCTCTCTTGAGCATGACCCGGAATAAACTCACTTGTAGTAGTTTCAAAAGCTAATGAAATGCCTGTATTTAATACAAGGATATATGACAAACAGAAGAATTATAAGCAACTGTACAAAGGTTTACCTGGAAGAAACTATAACTGAAACTGGTAGGACTTACAGGCCCTGCTCACCATATATTATAAAGGTTCTTGAAGCAATTAAATCTGTTGACATTTCAATAATGTTGTACAGTTTTGCCCAACTCTCCATGAAGATGAGAGCGTTTTTGATGACACCACAATGAAGGAGTGGGATAGGAATCTGATATGCTGAAAGTTAATCCAGAATATCAGTTCAGTGATCAAAGTTGCCTTTGTTGTAATTAAAAGAAGGAAAGTGTATCAAATATAATAAGGACACTGCAGGCAGATATAATAAGCTTGCACTTAATGCAGCTGTTCAGGACCTCAAATTATGCCTCTTAGAATCCATCTAAAACAAAAGAAGAAAAAGAAGAAGAAGGAGACGGAGAGAGAGGAAAAAAACAGCTTGATGCTTTTATCTCCCTGATATGACCCAAATAGAGGAGAGACAGATCTTCATTTAAAAGCTGCGTGTTCCTTCCTTTGACTGCTGTTTTCTGCAGTCCAAGCTGCAGGGGACAGCAAATAAAAATTTTAATTATATGTCACCCTCTGTCTTGCTACAGCTGGTGCTTTGGACACATTACAAAACACAATCATGCACTCAGCAATGCTAAGGTTTGCAAAAATAATACCAACAAAAACAACATGATATAAAAATATTAAAGCAATTTTAGAAAAAAAAATGGAAGTAAGGTGGAGGAGAGTTAAGGAAAAGAGCAGTGGAGAAAGAGACTGAGCAAATTTTAAAATGGAAGTACAAAGCAGAATGCATGCTTACTGTTTGTTCCTATAGATTACTTTCAATTTCCAGTGGATCAATAAATCAAGAGAAGAATAGGTTTATTAGCTAGAATGGAACCTCTACATTCGAAGGTAGTATACCTCTGGTTCTGGGGAAAACAAAAGAACAGAATTGCAATGGCTTTTGGAGAAACCTGGCATGGAGAATTTTGAAGATACCCCTCTCCAATTTGTAAAAAGTAACAGTTTTATACATTTATTTTAAATGACCAAATTCTTGCCTGTCAACCAAGTGCATTCTCAGGTGAGATTTTAAAAGTTTCAGCCATTTAATTACTTTAAAAGAAGTGGTGCTGGTGACATTGTGCAAAATTGCCTTAAAACAATGGCAATTTTGACCAATAATTGTCTTCAGCTTATTTGGAGATACTATAAGCAGCCTTTAGGCCCTTGGATACACACCCAGCATCGGTGTGTATCCAAGTGCACAGTGGTCATTCCTGAGGTTTTATCTGCTACTTTATGAATTGCCATTCCAGAGGTAGTACTAATTTCAATATGGAAAATCATGCCCCAGAAGTCTTCACTCTTGACTGAGGACACATAGATTCTCACAGTATTTCTCAACTGCAGCATACATGACTTTGTATAGCAGAGGTTTTTTTCCATCTCATACTTTTTTTTCCAGAATTTGGACGAGCCGGGTAGAGGTACCCCATAATGCAACAAAAAGCAGATTCTCCTACTTGAAGATCAAGGACAGGCTCTGTTGCTCCAAAAAAGCACTACTAAATATTTAATTTTGCATGTTAGAAAGGCATTGTTTCTTTCATTGTATCCCAATTCCATTCTGAGGAGCCAAGGCTGCTAGAAATTTCAACGTTTAATTTTCACAGTCACCCTGTGAGATAAGCTAAGCTGAGAAACAGTAATTAGCATTTAAAAAATAACCTAATCAGTTTCATGGTTAGGTAGAAAATGGAACCTAATTCATCTCACTCCAAGTCCAATTCTTTGTCAGATACATGTCAAGGAGACAATTAGCAAAATGAAAAAATAAAACAGGTAAGAGGGTATGGTTGAAAATAGAGCTGTGTATGCTTCAGAATGGTTTGGATGAAGTGCTTCAGAACTCATGCAAGCACATAGCACTTCTCTGTTATTCACTCAAATAGCCCGACTCCACATAAACCTGAAAAACTTTAAGAGTCATATTAATGTAATTGAATTAAACTCCTTAAAGCAGCTACAACTTTTATCCAATTATGAAAAAAAATAACTAGATTTAGTTTTCTTTCTTTTTCTTTCTTTCTTTCTTTCTTTCTTTCTTTCTTTCTTTCTTTCTTTCTTTCTTTCTTTCGTTTGT